AGTGTATGCTGTGCTGGGAACCAAACACTGACTTTTGTGCATGCTAGGTAGCACTCCACCAACTGAGCTACACCCCCAGCTCCTTTACTTCAAAGTCTTAGAGGATGAACACATGCCTTATGTATGGGATGTCATGGCATTAAGTTCTCTATAATACCTTGTATCACCTGTAGCCCATGCCACAAAATAACAGGAAATTATTTTTAGAAGCCAGTTTCATTTGAGAGACTATTACAAGCTCATTTTCATATACAAATCCCTCTTATCAGCCAGGCGTTGGTGGCACATGCCTTTAGTCCCAGCACTCAGGAGGCAGAAGGGCAGAGGCCAGTGAATCTCTGAGTTCTCAAGGCCAGCCTGGTCTACAAAGCTAGTTTCAGGACAGGCTCCAAAACAATACAAAGAAACCCTGTCTCAAACAAACAAACAAAATAATCCCTCTTATCCATAAACATCCACACTATATTTATATTAAAAGCACATCATCTGTTTTTTTTCCAGCCAAAGGTACTTCCCTCTCTGCTTATTATAAACAACTTGGCATGTCATTGCTTATCCTAATGCACTAAAAAAAAAAAAAAAAAAAAAAAAAAAAAAAAACCCTTTTCTTGTTATATTTTTTTATTTAGTGAGTGTAGGTCACAAGATGGCAATTTGAGCTCCTTGAATTGCATGTCAAGAGCCTATTCAGTGGATTAGCAGGCCATCAGAAAATTGTGTGCATGCAGTCTGTCTTTGAAGAAATGTAAGAATTAGATGGAGGAAAGTTGTGGGAATTATTGGTTCTCTCCTTTTACCATGTGAGTATCAGGGACTTGGTGATTAGGCTTAGTGGCAAGTGTCTTTCCTGCTGAGCCATCAAGCCCGACTCCCCCCCCCCCCCCAAGACAGGGTTTCTGTAGCTTTGGAGCCTGTCCTGGAACTCATTCTGTAGACTAGGTTGGCCTTGAACTCAAAGAGATCCACCTGTCTATGCCTCCCAACTGCTGGGATTAAAGGCATGCACCACCACAATGCACTTTTTAAACTAGTGTCTACCTGGACTCTTTTAAACAGCCTACTTTTTTTTTTTTTGTACTATACAACCCCCCTAAGCTGAACTTGCATTTAATATTACTATTGGAGTTGGGAGCTTCAGAAGGAAGAACAGTTTTGAGTGGTAGCAGATAGTGACCACTGACGATGGATACAAAGGACCACCAGCAATTACCACTGGACATGATTACTTTGGTTCTAGATTCTCTGTAACAATATAGGCAGCTCAAAAACAGAGAAAGGAAACCAGAAGGGCAAGTGTTGATGACAGTAGTGAACCTAATGTTACCACTCCTCTGCCCCTAGTCCTTCAAATGCTATCCTTTTCCTTATGACAACTCTCACCACTAAAGCATCTGGCTCCACCCAGTTCTCTAGCGTCTACTTCTCTAGCATCTACTTACACCACTCTGCCCTTGACTTTCAAAATCCTACATCCTAGCCAGGTCCTTCCTTCCTCAAGGCTCTGCACACAAGTTACTTTTGCTTGTCATCCCCTCCCTTCAACACTGCTTCAGCTTAAAAATCACTTCCAAAGAGAAAGCTTCCCCAGTGGCATCCACACTCATGATCTCTCAGTACATCTCTCAATGGGCCCTGTCCTTGTTTGGCTTTGGATCCATACTATCTCCTTACAAGCAGTTAGCTCTGTGGTGGCAGAAATTTGGTGTATCTGGTTCTTTGCTGAGTTCAGCACCCAGCCTAGCTGCCTGTCACCAGTAGGAACAGGTGTTGGATATAGTTACTGAATGAGTGAATGAGTGACAGAAACACTTAGCCATAGGATCTAGTTGTTTTGTTTGTTTGAACCAGGTCTCCATTCCCTCAACTGTTAAATTGGGATTATGGTAATTGCAAACTTCAGAATTGCTCTGTGGATTAAGAGTCAAGCTATATAGTATGCTTGGTATGTACCTGACATATAGTGTTAGGAAACATTAGCTATTATCATCATTAAAAAGAAACTGTCTGAATATCCGAAACTCTTAAACATTGTCGGTAGGAATGTGAACATAATACCTTATAATTGTAAATACAAATAGATCATACCATTTAGCAATCATACTTCTTAGGTATACACCTAAGTGAATGGAAACCTTACACGGAAATGTAGACAGGAATGTTTATAGCAGCTTTATTCACAGCTCCTCAGAACTGAAAACAACCCAAATGTTTTTAAATCAGTGAGTAGATAAACACGTCAATGGAGTACTACAAAACAAGAAACAAACTGATGACACAAGCAGTAACATGGATGAATCACAAATTCATTATGCTAAGTGAGAGAAGAAAGACTCAAATGGTGATATACTGTATGATTCCATTTAAAGGAATTTATATAACATTCTGGAAAAGCCAAAACTCTAACAGAGTGGATATGAAGAAAAGTAGGGGGTGATGGAAATGTCCTAACTGGATTGTGGTGTGCTTGCCTGACTATATACATTTGTCAAAGCTCATGGTACTGGAAACCGAAGAGGGCTAACTTTACTGTATGCAAATTACATCTAATTTACAATAGAAAAATAGAATAGATAAAACTGAGTTTTCTTTTAGGAATGGTACATGAGGTTTCCTCCCTTTCTCTTTCTACCCACTTGTACCCCCTTTCATCTTTCTTTTTGTTTTATTTTGTTTTTCAAGACAGGGTTTCTCTGTATTGTTTTGGAACCTGTCCTGGGACTAGCGACTAGCTCTGTAGATCAGGCTGGCCTCAAACTCACAGAGATCCACCTGCCTCTGCCTCCCACATGCTGGGATTAAAGGTGTGGGCCACCAACACCTGGCTTTATTTTTAAATTTCTTAATTTTATGTGAATGGGTGTTTTGCCTACATGTATATTTGTGCATGGTGTCCAAGGGGCCATAAAAGGGTGCTAGATTCCTTGGAAATGGAGTTACAGACCATTGTGAGCCACCATGTGAGTGCTGGGAGTTGAAATCAGTCTCCTATGGGAGAGCAGCCAGTGCTCTTAACTGCTGAGCCATCTTTCCAGCCTCTTTATTTTTTTAGTTTTTTTTTTCTTCAAGACAGGGTTTCTTTGTGTAGCTCTGGCTGTCCTGGAACTCACTCTGTAGGCCAGGCTGGCCTCAAACTCACAGAGATCCCCCTGCTTCTGTCTCTCACATGCTGGGATTAAAGGCATTCGCTGCCACCCTCTGCCCAGCCCCTTTATTTTTAAGTTATGTATATGTATGTGTCTGCCTCATGTATGTGGATGTTCTTGGAGGATAGAAGAGGATGTTTCATGTGGTTGTGAGCTGATCAATGGGGGTCCTGGGAACTGAACTTGGATCCTGGGTCTTCTGGAAGAACAGAATGCACTTTCAACTGCTAAGCTATCTCTCCAGCCTTTGGTTTTGATTTTTGAGACAGAGTTTCACCTCACAGTCCAGTTGGCCTCCAAGTTTCCATCTTTCTACTTCCGTTTCCAGAGTATTGATATCCATGGGCATGTGCTAATGTTTTCTGATAATAAAGGCTGTCACATAAAATTTCTGATTATACTATATGTTCATTGTAGGCATGTGGGAACATGAAGAAAAAATAATTCCTTGTTATCGATTTTTTGTTGAGACAGGGTCTCTTGTAGCCTAGGCTGGTCTCAAACTCACTTTGTCATTGAAGCCAGCCTTAATTAAACTCCTTGTCCTCCAGTCTCCATCTTCCAAGTGCTGGGATTATAGGCTAGTCTCACAATACCGAGCCCATTTTGCTCTCAGAAATATACAGTCTACTTTACAAAATACATTTGTGTATATTCCCATGCCTTAAATAATTTTAAGAACCATCATTTTATGAGTCAATAATATATGTGTGTGTGCCAACTGTGTGGAGGTCAGAGGACAACTTTCGGGAGTCAGGACTCTCTTTCCATGTGGTTCTGGGATGAATTCAGGCATGATGCTTGGGGGGCAAGTGCTCTACTGGCTGAACCAATTCACTGATCCCCCACCCTCCTCCTGAAATTCATATTTTTAAGTATTTCTTTGTTGCTAAAAATTATATTCTCATACAAATATATTTTTGCAAACTAAATAAAACTACAATAAAGTTCCATCCCCAACACTGCTACATTTTTTAATGAAAAATAAAACCAAATTATATATATATATATATTCCTGAAGCAATTTCGAAACGTAATAAAAGTTCAGCAGGGCCAGAGAGAGATTCCTCCATCGAGGGTTTCACAATGTTGAACTGGTAAAGCAACCTTCCCTAGGCTACAACTCCCTCATTGTTCCAGGGCCTGCTGGAAAAGTGGTTCCACAGGGTGATCTGGCTCCTGTCTTTGTGATGTACCAGGCTAGACATCCTAACATTTCCTGTACTACCAGCTTACATTTGCATAATACTTCCAATATTTAATGCTCACCCCATCTAACGTAGCTTAAGCAGGGCAGATGGGAGGACTTTGTTCAAGATCATAGGCTTATCAAGAGTGTAAACACGGATGTATAGCCCGGATATAATTAGGTCTTCAAAACACTTCCCAGCGTTGGGTCGCTTTGTCCCCTAACCCCCACCCTAGCGAGGAGGCTTCAGACATCTCTGGCCAGTGATCTAAGGAACAGGCGCTCTCCCAAACCTTCAAATGTCCTTGGCAACACTGCCACTTACCAGCTGGGGCCATTTCACTCCTGGTGGCAGGGGGACACATACTGCCCCTTACCAAGGAGGCCCAGCGAGCGGGTGGCACGCTGGCTTCGTGGCCCGCGGGGCTTGCTGCCCATCCGTCACGACACTGTCGGGGCTGCCGCTTTCTGGGGCTCTCCCGCGGCACAAAGGCGCCGGTGAGGGGACGCGCCCTGGAGAGGGGGAGAGGGCCTCCATCGGCTTAAGGACCGGATACGGGGGACCAGGGAACCTGTGGTTAAGGGCTGTGTGAGGACAATCTTGGGACTTGACAGCCATGCCTCCAGAGGTCAGTCCTCCGCTATCCCAGAGTCCCCCGGTTCCCGGAAGTGCCCGGCTCTCCGGAAGTGCCGGGATTGCTGTAGGAGTAGCGGCTTTCTCGAGCGCTGTACCTGGTGGGTTGTAATTCTAGGGTCCTGGTGACAGTGCAGGAGGAAGGTTGGAGCAGGGCGTCGGGGTTGAGCGGCGGGATGATGGAGGAGGAGGAACTGGAGTTCGTGGAGGAGCTGGAGGCCGTGCTACAGCTCACGCCTGAGGTGCAACTAGCCATAGAGCAGGTGAGCGCTCCACCCACTCAGAAGGGAGCTCTGGAGGAGGGCCGGCTCTGGGGGAGGGCGGAACCCACCCTCCTAGGCTTGAAAGGTGACGGCTCGGCGCGCCGAGGGGGTCTGGATTTTGGTGGAGGTGGAAATGGGTTTCTCAGCTCATGGACCGAAAGCGTCCTCTTTAGGCTCAGGTTGCCACACCTGCTGGGTTTGGGCCGAGATGCTGTGCTTTTTGCCAGCGTGAACCTAGGAGAAACCCCGTGACTGGATAATTCAGATTATGGGAGATTGTGAGACCTCGTTCATTTTCCAGACTAGTGCGGTTTTTCCCGTTTCTCAAGTTAAGCCCTTGGAGTGGTTTGGAATTGGCTGCAAGAAACTTTCATTCCGGAAGCAAATGGCGGGGATGGAGTGTGTGTGTGTGGGGTGTCATTCTGGAAAATGGCTCTTGTGCTGGTTTCTGTGCGTGTGTGTGTGTGTGTGTGCGTGTGTGTGTGTGTGTGTGTGTGTGTGTGTGAGAGAGAGAGAGAGAGAGAGAGAGAGAGAGAGAGAGAGAACACTTGGCACAAGCTGACCTTATCTGGTAAGAGGAAGCATCAATAGAGGAATTGCACCCATCGGATTGGCCCATGGGCAAGTTGGCAGGACATTTTCTTGATTATGATGTAGGAATGGCCCAGCCCACTGTGCATGGTACCACCCCTGGGCAGCTGGGTCTAGGCCTTATAGAAAAGCAAGCTGAGCAAGCCACAGAAAGCAAGCCATTAAGCAACGTTCCTTATGGTTTCTGCTTTAATTCCTGCCATGGCTTCGTCTGATGATGCACTGTAATTTGTAAGGCAAATAAACTCATTTCTTCCCGAGTTGCTTTTGGTCATGGTGTGTTATCCCAGCAATGGAAAGGAAACTAAGTCAGACCTTTACCATAATTAAAAGGTTGAGGGGTTCTGTGGGTAAAGGGACTTTGCTACCAAGCCTAATGGCCTGAGCCTGTTCCCCAAGAACCCTCAAGGTAGAGGGAGAGAACTACTTTTGACTGCATATATATGCATGTGTGTCTGTGTGTTCCAGCACACACACATAAATACAGTAAAAATGTTAAAAGGTTGAGAATTTCTGTTAAAAGGTGGAGAATATTCCTGAGTCCTTTCTTCCTAACAAGAAGTTCTCTTGTTGGCCAAGTCTCCTTGTTCAGTATATTAATATTTATGGTAAAGATACTAGAAGTAATTGTTTAAACTCCATATAGGTTTTGTTCTCCATTAAAGGAGGAAGATCTTCCTTAAGGAATTGACATGGGGTTATGATGTAAGAAAAAGCATGTTAGGAGCTAGGGATATGGCTGAGTGCTAAAGCACTTATCTCATGTGCCTAAGGATCTAGGTTCAATCCCCAGTACTAATGGAAAAGAAAAGAAAGGAAGAGTATGCCTCATTTAATGACTGTTGGGAAGTTTACCCAATAACATAAATTAGTATAGGTGGACAATTGGTACTTTTTGTCTGTCTGTCTGTCTTCTTCTTCTCTTTTCTCTGACAGGATTTCTCTGTGTAGCCCTGGCTGTCCTGGAACTTGCTTAGTAGACCCAGCTCAACCATTATTAACCTTGGGTCTGTCACTGTACCCAAATACTGTGCTTATATTGTCCCACTTACAGATTTTCTGTGCATGTTTTTGGGGAGATGCTAGCCTTACTCCTACAAACCACATTTGTTACATCCCAAGGCTGATATCCCATTGGATAAAACTTAGAGTGCTGGGGCCATGCTCCTTCAGTATCTGCTCCCTCCAGCCAGAAAATGCCTACATTCCAGTTGTACTTTAGACTTCTTGGCCTCTGATGGAAGAAACAATACAATCAGTTACTGTCAAAATGTCACATTGTTGTTATTATAATATAATACATTTTCTTTATTTTTTATTTTTATTTTTTTAAGACAGAGTTTCTCTGTGTAGCCCTGGGTGTCCTGGAACTTACTCTATAGACCAGGCTGGCCTGAAACTTAGAGATTCATCTGTCTTGAACTCCTGAGTGTTGGGCTTAAAGGTGTATGTCTCCACCTGGCTACATTTTCTGTTCTCAAGTTTTCAAGCAGACACCGGATGTCAAGATGAATTTAGATCTTTTTCTTATTTTAATAGTTCAAGATCCTAAAAATCCTGCAAGTAGTTGTTCAATAGCATTATTGTAAAGAGTACTAGGTTACTGGTTGATATAATAGAATCACATCTTACCCAGAGGTCAGTTCCAGACACTCCAGCCATGTTTCTCTTGAAAGTCTTTGAACTGCCCATGAGACGCAGTGTCTAAAGGCCTTTTGATATGTCCTGTGTTTCCTCTGCTGGCACTGGAACCAGGCATGCCCTTCATGGGTGTCACTGAAGGAAGTAGCTGAAGTCAAGGGCTGTGGCCTTGTGTGAAATCTGTTAATGTCTGGGATGACATCCAGGGACAGGAAGAGAGGAATGCAGAAACCAGGAGCAGTTAGAGGAAATGGATAATTCACTTATTTCCTCATACCGGGTCACAAAGGCAGGCCCTGATCCCCATCACTCCCTCTGCCCAGGGCATTTAATTAATTGTGTAATCACACATGCATGTGGTGTATTCCCATCGTAGGTATACCATATAGAAGTGAATATGCTAGGGGTTTTTTATTTTTTGTTTTTGGAAACAGGTTTCTCTGTGTAACCTTGGCTATCCTGGAACTTACTCTGTAGACCAGGCTGACCTCAAATTCACAGAGATCTGCCTGCTTCTGCCTCCCAAGCGCTGGGATTAAAGGCATGCACCAGGGAAAATGCTAAACTTTTAAATAAAATACTAAGCTTCAGCTCTGACTGATTTTGCTTCTACTTGCAGTTTTATATCATGGAAACCATAAACTCTCCTACCTTTCATTCTTTTTTATTCTTAAGTCAAAAACTTACTTATTTGCTATTTTGTGTAAATGTGTGAGCCTGAGTGAGTTTATGTGCACCACATACATTTGGGGGTCCTTGAAGGCCAGAAGATGGCATCAGATTCCCTGAAATAAGAGTTAGAGGCAGTTTCAAGGAACTACTGTATGTGTTCTGGAAACTGAACCCAAGTCCTCTGTAAGAACAGCTCGTAGTCTTAACTGCGAGCTATCTCTCTGATTCTTTTTTTGTTTTTGTTTTTTTGAGACGGGGCTTCTTTACTCCTGGCTGCCCTGGAACTGACTGTGTAGACCAGGCTGGCCTTGAACTCACAGTCGTGTTCCACTACCTCCTGACCATGATTCTTTAACCCTTCCCTGAAAATTGCTTTACAGAGTTATATATGTCTTGAGCTGGTAAAACTTAGTACCAAGGGATTACTGATTTTTCTGGTTTTTTGTTTGTTTTTTGATTACTACATTTGTGTGTGTGTGTGTGTGTGCGCGCGCGTGCGCGCGCGCGAGTGTGTGTACATGTATACATGTGCACCACAGAGTGCTTATGGAGGTCAGAGGATAACTTACAGGCATCAAGTTATTTCTTTTTTGTAACGTGAGACCTAAGGACTGAACTCAGGTTGTCAAGCTTGGTGTAAATAATCTTACCTGCTGAGTCTAATCTTGCCAGTCTCTGCCCGCACACACCTTTGTTGGAAACAGTCCTGTGTAGGTCTTGTACTCACTATGCAGCTAAGATTGACCTTGAGTTCTGGATCCTCCACAGTCACTCTGGTACACCTGTATATACACACACACATACATACACACAGCACCTCCCAAACTCTAGGATTACAGGCGTACACCACACCCCAGCCTTTTATAACTCATCCTGTTACCTATTTTTCAAGTTGTGACTTTTGAAGAGACTTAGTTGTATTTCTCAGAGGATAGTTTTCTTTTGTTAACCTGCATGCCAGTTTTCCTTTTTTTTTTTTTTTTTTTTTCCTTCCTTTTCTTTTTTCTTTTTTCTTTTTTTTTTCCCTGAGACAGGGTTTCTCTGTGTATCTCTGTAGACCAGGCTGGCCTCCAACTCACATAGATTCACCTGCCTCTGTCTCCCCAGTGCTGGGATTAAAGTTATGCACCACCACCACCACCACCACCATCCGGCTCAGTTTTCCATTTTTCGATACTATCTGAAGCATAAGGGTTCCTTCGGGGCAAGCTGAGACTGTAGCTTAAGTAGCAGAGGATTACGGAGCACAGATGAGGCTCTGGGGCTTCATCCCCAGCACTACAGCAGTCTTTTCTTGTGTAAGATGTCAGCACTACAAGTGTTAAAGTTATAGATTTACTCTAGTAGGTATTTCATTGTACCCTCATCCCAAAATTTGTTTCTTTTGACATAAAACAACATACATATTACATATATATGTGTATGTATGTATATGCATATATATGTATATATGTGTATATACATATATATATTCTGTCACAGTTTTGGAAGTCCAAAATCTTGAATCAAAAATATTAGCAGGAGTCAGGCATTCTGGCACACTTCTGTAATCCAAGTACTTGGGGGGCTAAGGCAGGAGAACCAGTTTAAGGCCAGCCTGGGCCTTTTAATGAGTTGCAGGGTATCCTGAGCTACATAGTGTGATCATAGTGAGCTGGCTCGTCTTGCTTCTGATTTTTGTCGGCACTGTTTGGTGCTCCTTGACTTCTGTCTTCCCATGGCTTTCTTCTCATATCTCTTTGATTCCTGTTTCCCCGCATCTACTTATTTTCTTGAGAACCCACTATACACGAAACATTATAAAATGAAAAAGTTGGAATTTTTCTGTTTTTGTTTTGTCATCAAGAACCTACTGTCTAAGCTGGACTGTGGTGGGGCTTGCCTTTAATCCCAGCATTTGGGAGGCAGAGGCAAGTGGATCTCTGTGAGTTGGAGGCCAGCCTAGTCTACAGAGTTTCAGAACAGCCAAAGCTACACAGAGAAACCCTATCTCAAGAAAAAGGGGGGGGGGGGAGGCCGGAGAGATGGCTCAGAGGTTAAGGGCACTGGCTGTTCTTCCAGAGGACCTGAGTTCAATTCCCAGCAACCATGTGGTGGCTCACAACCATCTGTAATGAGATCTGGTGCCCTGTTCTGGCCTGCAGGCATATATACAGACAGAACAAGGTATACATAATAAATAAATATTTTTAAAAAAGAACCTACTGTCTAATACAAAGATTAAATTTAGAATCCCCTATTTTTATAATTGTATCCTTTGCTTTAGTATTGTTCTCTCTCTCTCTCTCTTGCTCTCTCTCTCTCACTCTCTCTCTCTGTGTGTGTGTAATGTGATGTGTGGGTGCACATGTCTTAGCATCTATGTGGAGGTCAGAAGACAACTTTGTGAAATTGGATTCTGGGGATCCAACTCAGGGTGTTAGGCTTGCATGACAAGTACCTTTGCCAGAGTCATCTTGCTGGTCCTGTTTCTTCTAATTGGAACAAAAACAAAACCAAAAAAGCCAAAATCGACCTGTATATATCTGTGGTGCCCAACATGATGTTTTAACTAATAACACCATTTTTATGTAGGTATTTCCAAGCCAGGACCCTCTAGATCAAGCTGACTTCAATGCTGTTGAGTATATCAATACTCTGTTCCCAACAGAGCAAGTAAGTATAGAGCTTTAGGTTTCCTTCTTCCCAGTGGCTTGTTGCTTATCCTGTGTGTTGTGACTAGTGTGATAAACAAATGACATTAAATTCAAATCAAATTCCACTGTAACTAACTGGGTCAGTTAGCCAGTTGAATTAGCACAGAGTTCTTTGTTTGCAGAACATATTATTAGAAATTGTACTTTTAGTTTGTGAGAACATATTATTAGAAATGGTACTTTTAGTTTGTGAGTCTCCCTCACCCCTCACCATACTTTGTGTTATAAATTGGGGTCATAACATAGGAGGAAAAGTGGGAGTGAGGCAGGCAGGGTAAATCCCAACTCACAAAGCATCATTTAAAATGTAAAGTTGTCGACATTTTATTTATATTCTCTGTGTGATTTGCCTAGATGGGATTTTCTTACAATAATTCAGAGTTAGAAGCCAGAAAATTGAGGGAAGGCCAGGTAGATTTTGGCCTGCCTACCCACTTTCCCTCCCTCCCCCTCCTCCCCTTCTTCCTCCCTCTTTTCCTCCCCCTCCCTCCCTCTCTATTTCTAGACAGGGTCTGATACAGCCCAGCATGATCTTCACTGTATAGCCAATGTGATCCTCTTGCCTCTGCCTCTGCTGAGATGACAGATGTGTGTCATCATGCCCGACTTTGGGTTTTTCATTTATTCATTAAGCTGATGGATACCTGTCATATGCTGTCAGTCATCCTGGGCACAGGGATACATCCTTGCCACTAATGTGTGTGATCAGAGTAGAAAGGACACTGTTGAATGCTATGAGGGAGACAGGGAAGGAAGAGTACAGTGAAAAGACCAGAGGCTTCTTAGGAAAATTTAAACCCGGGAGCTTTCTGCCAGTTCTTGAAGGGTCATCTTATTCAGTCAGCCAATCAGACTCTCCAGTCACTTCTGAAGTGTATTAAGTACCGGGGACTGTTTTAGAAACTAGAGAGAAATGGTCAACATAGCAGGTTAGTTCTTGGTCTCATGGAGTGCAGCGTAGGAAGGAAGACAAGAAATAAATCAACAAGAAGTGATCCAGTGTGGCTGGTGATCTGCTGGGAGCGTGTGTAGCCATCGATCATGGTGGCATGGACAGAGTCCTTTTAAAAGAGCCCGAAGGGAGGCTCCTTCTGAGGCGTTCCTGTTACACCGAGGCCTCATAACAGAGGAGCCAGGCTTGTGGCAGTCTGTGAAACACTCTTGTAGACAGGGGTAAAGACAGGAACACAGGGAAAGAAGGCCATTCTAAAAGTAGGAGGCAGGGAGACCAGTGAGGAGTGTAGCACAGAAGATCCTCAGAGAAAGCCGAGAGCCTCGTGAGTAGGCTGGGTGGAGAGAACATGACCTGAGGGGCAGCTGCTGAGTGTGTGCTTGAAAAGATGAAGGTAGAGGCGTTTGTAGACAAAATTCATCCATTCATTTCTCAGTGGGGCTAGTGGAGAGAGGCTGATTGCAAGATGGAAGAGTCAGTCACCAGAGATAGGCTTTATGAACTCAGAACTTATAGTCTGCCTTGATAATCTTCATAGCACTTGCATTTAAAGGGAAATTACGGATTTGTAATTATTGCATTGTACACTTGTACCACAACTGTACTGTTAAGATTTTACCATTGATCTGGCATGGATTGCACTAGGCGCTCTAGACATTTAACAGCAATGGATTCTCCACTGTGTTGATGGCCTTGTTCAGTAAGGATAACGAGCAGAGCAATAAGTAAACATGGCAGAACGCTCTGCTGAAGTGTGATATTGGATATGGTGCAAACAGGCTTAAGAATCCAGGAGCTTTCCTGCGGAGTGGCACGTAGGCTACATTAAAGATGTTAAACTTTGGTTGTGGCCTGCTCCACTTGGCAGGTCTTGACACCTTTATTCACTGTTGCAAGGGGGAAGAACGGGTGTCAGTGGTAAACAGGGCCGGGGTAGGGTGTGAGCAGTGTAGGCCATGAGCAGCTCACACGCACCCATCTATCTGTCTGTCTGTCTTATCTATCTCCTTTTTTTTTTCTGATTTGTTTGACAGTTTAGTTTAAAAAAAAATACATTAATTTTTAAAATAAAACTTGAAAAATGTTACATCGTGTGATTGTCTTTTTGGAAGTTTTGTAATTAGCCTTCACTGCTTAACATTTCTGAGAAGGGGAGTTGGGGTTAGCTAGTGATAGAGACTTGGTAACAATTGGCTTAAGAGAGCTTCTTTCTGCTTATCAGGAATGCCAATTTGCTGGGAGGTAGCGACACATACCTTTAGCCCCAGCACTCGTGAGGCAGAGGCAGGAATATCTCTGTGAATTTGAAGCAAGTCTGTTCTACATAGCAAATTTTAGGATAGCCAGGGCTACATAGTAAGACCCCGTCTCAAAAATAACAAAAAGAATGCCAATTCAATCAACTAAACAAACAAACAAACAAAAAACAGCGTTTGAAAGTTACATAAGAAGCTGCCAGGTTTCACTTTTTAGATTTTTAAAAAATTATTTATTTTTTATATTCCAATCACAGTTCCCCCTCCCTCCTCTCCTCCTGCTCCCGCCACTTTCCCCCCACCCACCTCCTATCTGCTCCTCAGAAAGGGTAAGGCCTCCCCTAAGTCTGTCTCCTCATCTTCTTGAGGCAGGACCAAGACCCCCTCCCCCACCTCACCTAGGCTGACAAAGGTGTCTCGCCACGTAGAATGGGCTCCACAAAGTCAGTTTGTGCATTAGAGTTAGGTCTTGGACCCATTCTTTTTAAAGTGAAGCATGTTATTCCTCAGATTCAGTTTATGTCTTGTGTGATCATGTTGCCACATGCATGATAGTATGCAGTGATGTTTCATATAGTAAGTCAGAAAGTACAGAACACAGGCTCAGGTCACACTCTATTTTCTTGGTCCCAGAGTTATACTCAGCTGGCCATCTACCAGCCCAGATTCCCACGGATCTTCATGAAAAAACAGTACAGAGTAGCAGCTTAACTTGTCAATTCTTTAACTTTTTTTAACCATAGTCCCACAAAAAATAATTTAGATTGATTTAAAGATGTCTAGATATGAAGGTTTAGTGGCATTGTAAGTGAGGCAATGAGGCAGTACTTCTCTTGAATGGTTTGCATGTCTGTGGATGCTGAGAGAGGGGTCCACAAGTCCTCAAATGTCTCTCTTCATCACATCTGGAGGGATCTCAGCTTTTGGTACTTAACAGGGTTCCCTACATGCTGCGGAGGAGCCAGATGTACTAATACTGGTCTGGAAGACATTTTTAGCTTCTCATTTATGATGTTATTGGAGTTTTGAGAAGAGGTGCTGTAATATTTATGAAAATGAGTGTAGTCCTAGCACTTGAGGATTGCTTGAGTCTGGGAGTTCAAGACCAGCCTGGACAATCTAGCAAGACTATTAGCTCAAAAGAACAAAAAGCTGGAGATAATAGCTCAGTAATAGAGTATCTGTCTAGTATTTATGAGGCTAGAGGTTAAAGATCTTTTTTAAAAAAATATTTTTTTATGTATTTTATGTGTGAGTGCTCTGTCTGCATGTATGCCTTTATGCCAAAAGAGGGCATCAGACCCCATCATAGATGGTTGTGAGCTGCCTGTGTGGGTGCTGGGAATTGAACTCAGGACCTCTGGAAGAGCAGCAAGTGCTCTTAACCATTGAGTCATCTCTCTGGCCCCAAGTTTCAAGTTCTAATGCTGGAAAAAAGAAAAGAATATGTATAATCAAGAAATTTGGGAGCAGACAAAAAAACTTAGCTGGGTGCGGTGTCATTTGTAGTCCCAATACTTGGAGGCAAAGGGATCAGGAGTTCAAAACCTAGTGTGGATACTTAGAGAGTATAAAACCATCATGCCGTACTTGAGACTCTCATATTAACCCAAATAAGGTGCTGTAGAGATGGCTCAGCTGTTAAGAGCACTGCTCTTGTAGAGGACCCAGGTTCAATTCCCAGCACCTACACAGTCATCTGAAATGCCAGTTTCAAACATCCCAGTGTCCTCCGACAGCCTTCAGGCACCATACCTCTGGTGCACGTACATGCATGCAGACACTCACACACATAAAATAAATAAACCAAATAACTAAATAAACTTTTTTGACTTTTTATTTTGACTTTTATCTGTGGTATACACCTGTAACCTTACTGTAGGAAGGAAGGCCATGAATTTAAGGGAAGCCTTGTCTGATGGCAAAAATCATGTCTATAAAAGAATTACAAAAAAAAAAAAAATAAAAAGAATTTTTAAAGATGCTCTGAGTCCTTATTATCAAGAAGAAGAAAACAAGAAAGAGAAAACAAACAAAACCCAGGTGGCAAATTACCGTAGTCTGTTTCCTAAAAAAGCATCTGTTTTCACAGAAAGAAGAGTAGGATGAAATACTCACTGCACTTACACCTTTCTGAGGGAAGGGTTATTTCACTGAATTATTAAAATGAAGGAAATGCTTTTCAATAATTGGAACATTTAGCAGTACACACCCCCCCCCCATGATAGTCAAACCAGATGAGTGATTATCAAAGACATGTACCACTTCCAATGATGTGTTTAGTCACTGGATTCCTACAGGCCATACCTCCAACTCCAGGGAAGACTCCCCCACATCATAGTCAGCACTGAACTGTGGGGTATGGCAGCTCCATCACACAGGTGGAAAGGAAGGTCAACCACCCGTGCTGCAGGGTTTGGAGGTATAGATCAGTGATAGAACATGTGGCCTAGCAAGCACCAGGCCCCAACAACTAAAATAAGCCCAAAAGTATGAATATCAATATCTGTCTGTCCTTCTGTCTGTCCATCCACCCATCCATCTATCCATTCATTCATCTACCCACCCATTCATCCATGCCTCCTTCCCAATATATAGCATATAACATATAATATATATATGTATATGTATATATGAGCAGTGACTATATTCAGAAATATCTCCACAACCTTAGACAAAAATCTGTCCTAAATTTTAACCCAGAGGAGGATGATAGGGTATACCTCATATGGCTCAGGGGGTTAAGGAAAAGAATTTCTGTGAAGTGACCACACTAAATGTTAGCACTCTCTCCCTCATGCTTGTCCAATAGGAAAGCTGTAATCTATCAGCTAATGAAGTGTGGCCTATTTTTGAGAGTGGGAGAGAGAGTGTGAATTAGGGATTAAATCTAGGGCTTCACGCATGTTAGGCAAGTGCTCTACCACTGAGCTATGTACTGAGTCCTTTTTCTGTTCTTTTGATAACCTTATTCTTGCACTGCCAGGTCTTCGTTGTCTCCTAACCTGCCTGTCCAATGTCTCTAGGGGTGGCAGAAGGGCCATCAGATACATATGCCCTCATGACCTAATTTTTTTCTGTTAATGGGCCTTGTCTACAGGTCTTTGCTATTTTATGTGTTCTTGTGTGAATGTGTGTGTGCAGGCTTATTTGTGCCATGGTGTGCTCTTGGAGGTCAGAGGACAGCTTTTGGAGGTAGTTCTCTCCATCCACTGTAAGGTCTGGGAACCAAACTTGTCAGGTTACACAGCAAGTTCTTTTACCTGCTGAGCCATCTCACCAGCCATCTCTGGTTTTTAAAATGCAGTTGCATATCTGCATAATTATTTTGGATGATTCTTAGAAAACAGTGTTGTGCTTTAACTAAGACCTTCCAGTCTCAGGATTATCAGATTCAAGAAATGTCTACTGGCACAGTCAGTATTGACTGGTGTGGAATGGCTGAATAGAAAGGTGTGGTGCAGTCAACCCTTGATGTGTTTTTCACTCAGACTGTCTGAGAAGGTAAACCAGAAGCTGGCTTGGGTCCGTGGCCTCTGCTAAAAAGAAGCTGCAGTCAGGTAGCATAGGGCAAGCAGAGCCTGCATTTCACTGCACACTCTTACTGTCCAGATTTTTGGTCATGCATATGTTTTAACAATTCTAAATACCTTATAACTATTTTATATTTGTAATTAAAAGTCTTGTAATGTATAGTTATATGCTATATACATAATTATACATAAATCATATTATTTTTAATAGTGTCCCTGATTTAGAAAGGTGTGATGACAAATTCTTGACTGTCTTTGTCCAGATTTCTCAAATGCTAGTTTACAAGAAAATTGTTACTTTTATTTTATGTATATATGAGTGTTATGCCTCCGCGTTAAGTTCACCACATGTGTCAGTGCCCACAGAGCCCAGAAGACAGTGTTGGAAGAGGGTGTGAGATCCCCTGGAACTAGAGCACCCGTATGGATGCTGGGAACCAAATTGGGGTCCTCTGCTAGAGTAGCAAGTACTCTTAATCACAAAGACATCTCTTCAGCCTCTGAATAATAACATTAAAAATTTTATTGTTGTTGTTTTTTTTTTTTTTGTTTTGTTTTTTCTTTTCTTTTCTTTCTTTCTTTTTTTTTTTTTTTTTTTTTTTTGTTTTTTTTTTTTTGAGAGAGAGTTTCTCTGTAATAGCCCTGGTTGTCCTGGAACAGGATTTATAGACCAGGATGGCCTCTAACTCACAGAGATCTTTCTGTCTCTGCCTTCCAAGTGCTGTACCACCACAACCAGTTTTTTTTAAAAAGAAAATTCTTTTAAAGATTTATTTATGATGTGTAGTATTCTGTCTGCACGTATGCCTGAAGGCCAGAAGAGGGAGCCAAATTTCATTACTGATGGTTGTGAGCCACCATGTGAATGCTGGAAATTGAATTCAGGATCTCTGGAAGAACAGCTGTGCTCTTAACCACTGAGCCATCTCTCTAGCCCACAGCCAGGTTTTAAGACATTTTAAAAAAATGTGTGTGTGTGTGTGTGTGTGTGTGTGTGAGAGAGAGAGAGAGAGAGAGAGAGAGAGAGAGAGAGAGAGAGAATATGAGAGAGAGAATATGAGAGAGAGACAGGGAGAGAGAGGGAGTGAGTATACACATGGCCTGGTGAGAAGGCTCAATAGGTAAAGGCATCTGCTGCTAAGTCTAAGGGCCTGAGTTTGATCCTGGGAACCCATATTACAGAAGAGAACAGACTCTTACAAGCTGTCTTTTGAGCTTTACACTCAAGCCGTGGTACTTAAGACACACACACACACACACACACACACACACACACACACACAAATAAATGAAACATAACAAAAATTGAATTTCATATTTATGTGTATATGTGTGTATCTGTGTGTATCTATGAGTGACTGGGCACCTGCAGGGGCTAGAAGAATCTGTTAGAGTCCCTTGAGCTGGATTTATAGGCAATTATGGTTCTGGGAACTGAATTCAGGTCCTCTGGAAGAACAAGTACATTAACTGCTGAGCCAGCTCTCTAGCCGCCCCCCCCCCACACACACATGTAAAGAATATATCCAGCCATTTCTTAAATTTGATAATCCTTAGACAGGAAGGTCTTGTTTATACCACAGCTTTGTTTTCTAAGAATCACCCAAAATAACTATGGAGATGTATAACTGCATTTTTAAAACATATTACAAAGAGTGTATATATACACCTTTAATCCCTGTAGTCAGGGGGGAGAGACAGGTGGATCTCTGTGAGTTCAAGGTCAGCCTGGTCTGCAGAGTGAGTTCCAGGATAATCAGGATTATACAGTGAGTCTGTCTCAAAACAGGAAACACACACATACACACACACACAATCAGCATTGCTGTTGTTTTAATTGTGGGTTCCAGCAGAGTTAGTAGCCAGGAACTATTACTCCCATATTCCTAGAAACTCAGAGAGGTTGAAGAGCTGTCTGTCCTCCAGCGAGTTGGCAGTGGCAGAGGTGGTCCAGACACAAGGTCCTGGACAATTCATCTCTGTTCCTACATAGATGGTGATTTAAATCACACCCAGTCCATTTTGAAGGGACTAACCTAACAGCCTAGAACTAATTTCACCCCAGTTAAATTGGATTTCTCCGTTAAAGTCACTAATCTTTTCTGAATTTCACCTTGTCTTTGGCTGACTGCTCTTGGATTTCTGAAAATTCAGAGTAAACCTTGGCTTAAAAGGAGAGTTGTGAATAGGCTGCTGTGGCACCTCAGGTCTGTTCCTGGAAGGTTTCTGGCTTCCTCCTGTCAGCAGAGAGTCAGAAGCAATTTATAAGCATATTTCCTCCTGAGAAAAAGTTTCTGTTGGGGAAGAGGAGAGGGGAACTAGAAAACTACCATTCTTTCCATCTTCCACCAGGGGGCACCATTTCACCACATTTTCTCTTTAGGTTCCTTTGTTTTTCCATTCTGTGACAGTCATTATAGATGAATTAAAACGTAGGCAAACACGTAGGCAAAAAGAAAAAACATTGAAATTATTCTTTTCCTCAAGCTACTAATCCAGATTTTCTATATTTCAGCCACTGGCCTGTTACAATGTATGGTCTTGCAGACATTTTCCTGTCTACATTCATAAAAGTAACTTCATTTGCTTAGTGAAGGGTAACATTATAGAGAGGAACTCACCCTATGGACCAGGCTGGCCTCAAGTTCACTGACTGATTGATCTATCTCTGCTTTGAGTGCTGGGATTAAAGGTGTGTGCCACCATGCCAGGCTGTATTTTTCTTCTGTTCTTTGAGAAAGGGTCTCACTAAGTACACTGGCCTCAAACTCGTGATCCTCCTCCCTCAAACTCCTGAGTGCTGGGATTACAGGTGTGCACCATTATGCTTAGCTTTAGCAAACAAATATTAAGTGAGTAGCTTGATGAATTTTCCCGTTGAAGGGCACTATCATTCCAGTAGGACCTTGAGAGCTAGTACCATGTCCTCAGAGGGTCTCTTGGCTTTCTACAGTCACTGCCTTCTTCAGAGAGCCATTATTCTGGCTTCTAAGGTGAGAAGTAATTTCATCTGTTCTGGAGCCACGGTGGTGGGGTTGTGCAGCATACCCTTGTTCCCAGCTCTCCCCAGCAGTGGTGTGAGTGAGAAACAGGCATTTTCGTAAAATTCTAGTCATTCCTCCCATTTCCTTGCTGCAGTTTATTTTATGTTTTTGTCAGTATTTTTTTTTCTTTTTGAAACAGGGTCTTACATTGTAGTTCTGGCCAGCCTTCACTCACCTGGCCCTGCCTCCTGGTGCTGGAACTAAAAGAATGTACCACTATACCAGGCCACAACCTTATTATTGTTAGCAAACTTTGCATAAAGGCCCAGATAGTCTTTCAGTGTCTGTCCCAACTTCCCAGCTCTACCACTGTAGTATACAAGCAGCCATAGACATGTGGAAGTTGACTAAGGTGGCTGTGTTCCAACAGCCCTTCAAAAGAGAATAGGCATATTTGTCAACTACTGCTTAGTTTGAAAAAGAATCAGGCTGGGAAGATGGCTCAGCACTCACTGCTGGGGACCGAGTTTGGATGCCTAGAACTCATGTAGACACTGGGCACAGTGGCGTTCCTATAGTCTCAGCACTCAGCACTCAGAAGGTAGAGACAGGGGGTCTCCAGAGCAAGCTGGCAGGGAAGATTAGGTGAATCGGTGGTGAGCTCTGGGTCCAGTGAGAGACCCTGCATCAGTACATAAGGTGGAGAGTAATTGAGGAAGACTGCTGATGTCAACCTCTGACCCATGCACATATGTGTGCTCACAGGGTATGCAAACATGCATGCATACACACACATCCATATGTGTACCATATGCACATATACACAAAGCCAAAAACACTTTTTAAAAAAGATGATTTGTACAAGAATTAAGTATAGTATCAAGATTAAACTAATTGAGATATCATCATTTCCCTGTGAAAGAGAATTCCAGAAAGTGAACTAACAACCAGCACTCTTTTTTTTTTTTTCCTTCATTGTAGTCTCTGGCAAACATAGATGATGTCGTGAACAAAATTAGACTGAAAATAAGGTAAGTAACACCATATGATTGTTATTGAAAAACATTGATTTACTCATATCTGAATCACATTTTTTGATTAAAGTACTAAAATCTCAAATTTAGAAATAATTCTTTCTCGTGGGTTTTCATGTAAACTCTATGGCAGGGAGCTGAATTCTGTGACCAGTGTTTAACTGTCCATGCAAAATGAAGGGAGCTGGAATAGACTCTGTTAAAAACAAGTTATCAGACAGGCTTTGGTGGTGTACATCTTCAATCTCAGCACTCAAGAGTTCCGAGGTAGCCTGTTTTATATAGTGAGGTAACAGCCAGCCAGGACTTACAGTGAGACCCTGACTGCAAACCCAGCATACATGAAGCTCTGGATTCAGTCCTAAGCATGGCATAAACCAATAAACCAGGTGTGGGTACACACACCTGTAGTCTTAGTGTATGGGAGCTACAGGCGAGATGATCAGAAATTCAAGGTCATCCTTGGCTACATGGTGAGTTTGAGACCTACCTAGGATACATGAGACCCTGTCAAAAAATAAAGAAAAGAAAGAGGAGGAGAAAAAGTAACTCTCAAAGGAGACAAAAACTTTTCTATATTTAATGGTCTTATTTTTTTAGTAGGCTTACCTTTTGTAATACCAAGACTCAGAAATGGAGAGGGGTTATACCTGTTGGTTACCTATAACAATGATATTGGATCTGCTGGTTGGTTTAGATGAGGCCCAGAATTAAAGACTTTAGTTAACCCAGGGCCTGATCATCTATGTTATCAGTTATGTCCTGCCTAGTGGCCTTGTTCTGGCTTATCTAGGTTTATAAATTTGGTAACTAATAGGCACTAAATAAGTGTGTTTTCATTATATAAGTAGTTTGATTTCGTTGCCTCAAATGTATTTTGGAGATTTTGTGTGCATTTGTTTCTTCTTTTTTTTTTTTTTAGACAGGGTTTTTCTATGTAGTTCCTGACTGTTCTGGGACTAGCTATGTAGACCAGGCTGGCCTTGAACTCAGAGATCTGCCTGCTTCTGTCCCCCAAGTGCTGGGATTAAAGATGTGCACCACTGTGTCTAGCTTGTTATTGTTTGAGTTTTGATGAGAAAACTCACTTTAAAGGTGGAAAAATGTGCCAGGCGTTGGTGGCACACGCCTTTAGTCCAAGCACTCGGGAGGCAGAGGCAGGCAGATCTTTGTGAGTTCGAGGCCAGTCTGTTCTACAGAGCTAGTTCCAGAACAGCTAGGGCTGTTACAAGAGACCCTGTCTCAGGGGAAAAAAAGAAAAAGAAAAAGAAATTTTAAAAAAATATGGAAAACATTCATTTGAGTCTAGAAGATGAGTTTTTTTTTTTTTTTTTTTTTTTTGGTTTTTTTGTTTTGTTTTGTTTTCTGAACATTCTTTAGGTCTTTCAGTAAAAGGCACTGCTCCATAAAGGTATTGTTCCAATGGTGCCTTTGTAAGCACAAAGGTGAGCTAGAGGGAAGGCTCAGGGATTAAGATTACTTGTTGCTCTTGCAGAGGACCCAGGTTCAGTTCCCAGCACCTACACTGCTGCTCACAACCATCTGTTACTCTAGTCCCAAGGGATCTGACACCCTCTTCTGACCTCTGTAGGCACTCAGCATGCCTGTGGTATACATACATACCTACATACATACAGGCAAAACATTCACGCACATAAAATAATAAAACGAGTAAGTCTTTAAAAAACCTGCTTGTTGCTTTGTTGGCTTCAGCTATAATGATTCTAGCGGAGACCTCAAAGTTGCCAGAGTTTATATAGAAGGGAGAGACATCCTGGCGCTCCAGAGAGCCTGGTCAGCTAGCTATTTCCTGCATTCTTGCTACCATACCTTAAATAGATTCTTCAAGTGCAAAATGAAGCTGGCTGATAGAAAGCCCTCTGGCAGAGGCGCCATGCAGTTGCTGTTGCTGAGCCTCTGGGAAAAGACATCCCGGAAGCCGTAGATCTGCCTCTGACAGGTTGCTCTATCATGGCACAAAGAGTAAGTGTTGATTTTGCAAATCACACTGGCTCCTTGACCCTTGTAAGGTCACCAAAGTAGGGATTTTGCAGTTGCTAATTTGAATTTAATGGCTTATTTCTGTAAAACATCTGTAACTTTGTCATTGCTGATTTATTCTGTGAAAAACATTTACAGTTTTATTGCTCCTTTCAGCCAGCTTATGAATATTATTAACTCTCACCAGTTTTTAAACAAAAGTAACCCTAAATCTGCACTGGTGGCGACTTCTTGTGTTCCTGCCGCTCCTTGGTCTAAGGGTTCATTCTTCATAGCTTATGCTCCTGTGGTTTTCTGCATTAAATGGGTGCAGTTCACAGAAGTTGATGAGTGAGTTACTGATAGTCTGTTTCTTTTGGTCTACCCAGAGTGCATTTATTTGAATGACTTGTGTCCTATCTTTTTTTTTTTTTTTTTTGTTCCTTTGGCCAGGAGACTGGATGACAACATCCGGACTGTCGTAAGAGGTCAAACAAACGTGGGGCAGGATGGAAGGCAAGTAAGTGACGCATCCCTCCACATTAGTTACCATCCCGTAATTTTATAAGGATCAAAACCCCAAGTGATCAAAGTGTTGACCAGTTCTTTGCACTTTACTAGTCTGTTCCATAAGCAGCAGGAAGCATGACTGACCTGCCCCACCATGTCAGGGCAGTATCTCCAGGCCAGCCATGAGCTCTCACTCAGTGTCCTCCAGACCCAGCTCATGTATTAATGCACAGCTCACCCAGGGCCAGCAACTTGCAGAGTCCCAGTTTTTCACCATCTCAGACACGTCCTGTGTACCGTGCCTGACTCAAGTCCCTGCTTGTATCTGTCAGCTTGGTTTTGGGGGGGACTCAGTATTAGTTTGAGTGCTATAGATATTGATGCGAGGCAGCCGTGGTTCCTCACACCTGTCCCGCCAGCCAGTTGGACTGGGTTCATTTCAGTGTTGTGCGGCTCCTTCCTCCTCACTATGGAGGGCTGTTGTGATGGGATGAAGTGGGAGAACCCTCTGGAGAGGAGGAGGTATTCTTTGGTGACTGAAGGGCAGATGTTATCTGTTAACCAGTTTCTTTTCTATTTGGATTCTGTTTAGGCATCGTGTTTCAGAAGTTGCTGTCATAACAAATGCTGAGATTGTCTTTCCCACTTCTCTCTGCAGTGTCTGGCCCTCCCTTTCATTTAGTTCACTTAGTCAGCCACACACTATTGGGATGGCTCCACTGCTCCCAGTTGTCCTCTTCAGCTTTGTGCGGTGCTGGGGAGCAAAGCCAGGGCCTTGTGCACACTAGACAAGTGTTCCACCACTGGGCCACTAGCCCAGCCCCTGGTGGTTTTGAGACAGTGTTAACTGCGTAGCCTAGGCTGTCCTCAAACTCTCGGTCCTCCCACTTTGGCCTGCTGAGTTCCAGGGTTATAGCTGCAGCCCACCATGGCCAGCTCTTGACAGTTTATAGTACAGGCGGCTTCTGAAAACGACTGTTTTGCTGCTCAGGGTTAGCGTGTAAGGGTCTAATTCTGGGTAGAAATTTCCTCATCTGCAGCATTCCCATTTCTGCTGCTAATGAAAGTGTCTTGACTCTTAGATTTTTCAGTTGGTTGTGTTGTTATTGTTGCTTTTTACTTAGTTGGAATTTTTAATATTTATTTTCATTTTATGTGTATGACTGTTTTGTCTGCATGTATGTGTATCACATATGTACCTGGTGTACATAACGAGGTCAGAAGAGGGTGTCAGACCCCTTGGAGCTAGAGCTACAGATGGTTATAAGCCCCATATAGGTGCTGGTAACTGAACTCAGTGAAAGGGAAAGGTATCGGCTCAGGACTCCCACAACCAAGTTCTCAGCACAAAGATTTATTTGCTCCAGAGGGACAGAGGGCAGGGAATAAGAGACACAGACAGGACATAGAGAGGGAGAAGGGGAAGGGAACAAGGGAGACGGGGCAGGGGTGTTTGTCCCAGAAGACAAAGAACTGCCTCTGGATAGAGAGGAGACGGACGTGGCCCACAGGCAAATGGTGGTTTATAAAGGTAAAATGGGAAACCTGTGTTAGGATGCAGGGTTTAATTTTGATTGGGCATGTTAATTAGATGAGTCGAAGGGGGATTTTGATCACTGGACTTCAGTACTTTGATAGCTGGATCTTGGTAGTCAGCCTCAGGAGGAGGAAGTGGTCAAATAAAGGAACAGACCTTGGTGGCAGCTTCAGCAGTGTAATCCAGTGGTTTTCAGCAAAGCAGAGGGAATGGGGAGAAGGGCAAGGCCTGCCAGAGCCATGTTCTACAAGAGCAGTAAATGCTCCTAACTGCTGAGACATCTTTCTGGCCCTTTTATTTGCATCCTCCCCCCCTCTCTCTGTCTCTCTCTGTCTCTGTCTCTCTCTCTCTGACAGAGAGAGGGCTGATGTGTATGTGTGTGAGTGATGGCCAGAGATCAAAGTCAGATGCCTTCCGTAATTGCTTCCATCCTGTATTTGTGACAGGCCAGCTCACTGAACCTTGAGCTCACCAATTTGACTAAACTGGCCAGCAGGCCCCCAAGGATCCTTCTGTGTCTGCCTCCCCCATTGCTGGGATGGCAGGTGTGCGCTACTGCACCTGGCTTTTCCATGCGTGTTGGGGACTGAACTCGGGTCCTCGTGCTTGAGAACCGAGTGTCCTCCCTGTGGAGCTGTTGCCCCAGCCCTGCTTTCAGTTTTATGCATGTCTACTTTCCTGCGTTTCACGGCTGTCGTTCTTTTCACTCTTGACACACTCCTCTCTTTCTGTTGCCCATCAGTGCGTAGCTTGTCTTCACCCTTTTTCTCATCGCTGCTGTTTGTTGCTGTGTTAGCTCCCTAAGACACCCTGTTTCCTGGACTCTCACATGGTCTTAGTGTTTACTACTTTGCTTTTGTGTATCAGGTCCCATGTAAACAGGACCTTAGAAGTAATAAAGAGGAGGAAGGCCCCCTCGTTGTGCTGATTAACTCCCATTTTTCATGTTTAGTCCTGTCATTTGTCTCTTCAGAGCACTACCTTCTGACATACAGCGTGAAGTCAGTCACATTCCTTTACTTGCTGCTTGAGGCTGCCATCCATGTTTCCAACTCTCTTTCTCCCTTTGTTCTAAACACACTGAAAGCTTCCTGCTCTGCCCCATGCTTTCTGACCCATGCATAAGTAGTTCTTTGTACCTGTGCTAGTTATCACCACTGTGGCAAAATAACCCAGCAAGAAGCAATTGAAGGGGGGAAGGAGTTATTCTGGCTTACAGTCAGAGGGGAGCCAGTCCATCCTGACCTGGAAGGCATGGAGCCAGGAGCATTAGCCATGTTGCATCCACCATCAGGCAGAGAGGGGTAAATGCTGTTATTCGCTTCAGTTTCTTCTTTTTACCCAGTCCAGGACCCCCACCCACAGAATTTCAGCCTAGTCTTCCTGATTTATTAGCCTGATCAAGACAATGCCTCTCAAATTTGCCTCTCAAATCTCATCAGGGATTTCAGATCTATCAGGGCAATCATCAGTCTTTACAACTGAGGCCTCAAGTGGCTTGGGTTTTGTGTTTGTTTGTTTGTTGTTTTTTGCTTCCCTTTCTTCCAGTTTTTACATTTCAAAACTTTATCCATTTAAGGGCCAGCCCAAATACTGATTCTTTTTTCATGATATTTTATTTATCTCATCTCAGTAACACCAAAGGGCTTAGGAGACTTGACCTTCATCTGACCCTGTCTTCATCTACACAGAAGAGACTGATGTGTGTCTTTCCCTCTTGTCGCTCACTCCCCAGCCCTCTGCTGTGCCTGGCTTTCTGAGTTTGTGGTCTCCCTTGACTTACTAATGATTAGATCTTGGCCCTTTGGGTAGTTTGTAGTCTCCTGGAAAGCAAGAACTTTACTATGTTTTTCATCTTTACACTTAAGTTCACATAGTTCTATATGCAACTACAGTGAATATTTGGTGCGTCTTAAATTATTTACTGCAAACAAATGCCCTTGACTGTAAAAACTTCAATTTAGTCACGTTTGAGGTGGTTTAAAGTTTGACGGAGGGGGTCAGTGCTAGGGATGGAACTGGGGTTCCCTGGATGCTAGGCAAATGTGCATAGTTTTACCACTGAGTAGCATCTCCAGCCCATGGTTCAGCCATGAATAGGCCCAGGTTACTTGGAATAGCACCACTGTATTTTGTGACTCAGCCTACGTTTAGAATGGCTCATCAGAAACCTTAAAACACTTGGAAGAGTCTCAGGTATTTAAGATCCTAAGAATGTGAAAAGGAAGGGCTTTTTGGTGGGTCATGCTATGTTCGTACACATCCTGGCTGCTTATGTTTTAAGTTGTAGGCCATAAAAGAGCAACAAGGGGGAGCAAGCCCCAGAAGGGGTAGGCCTCAGGAATGCCTCTCCCCACCTTCACTTGGAAATGGGTCACAGGTTGCCAGCAGGGCAGCTCGTATTTCAGAGAGCAAGACCATGTTTTCAAGAATGTTTAGATCATATTTCAGTCCGTGATGGAATTTTGTGTTGTCTCCTTAGAATCCAGACAGAGAGGAAGCCCAAAAGAAATAATCACTTTTCCTGTCATCCCCTCCATCTGTCTCTTCCAGCAGATTGAAATGCCAGCTCAAGTGGGAACTTTCTTCATCAGAGCATGCTGGTTCTGTCCTTGTCAGCTCCTAGGGATGACAGCATGACTCTGGCCAGTGGTTTGCTGAAGGGAGTCTCCAGCTGTTTGACACAGACTAAGGGGTTATGGATATGCCAGAATATTGAATTTTATAAGTCAGAAGGCCCCATGCCCCCCCTCCTTCCATGGAACATGAGCAGTTTGCATTCAGAACTTGTTCCCTCAGGGGCTGAGAACACTCAGGAGAGCAGCAGTGGGAACAGAGGGAAGCTCCCTTCCTCCCTGGAATCGCTCCATCCCTAAAAGCACAGCAAGCACTCGGCCTTATTGCACATCGTGGAGTCTTCTTCGAGCTGGCTTGCTTTTTGAGACAGGGTCTTATACCGTGCATTCTGCCCTTATAACCCTGCTACCTCCACTTTCCAAGTGCTAGCGTTATAGGTGGATACCTCCAGACCTGACTTTCATGATCTCTTGGAAGACATTTCAAATGATTTATTCTTATGGAGGAGGCTAAGCATGCATGCCAGTGTGCATGTCAAGACCAGAGAACAATTTTGCAGGTCACTTCTCTCTCTGCTTTTCTGTGAGTTCCAGTACTGAACTCAGTTCATTAGCCTTGCAGGCCACTGAACCATCTTTGGGCCTTTTAAAAGACATTTTCAGCAGGAGAGTTCTTTTGTGTTAGTGTGTATGTTGTGCATGTGTGTGGTATGTGTGCACCAGTGTATGGAGGTCTTGCTCTTTGAAGCAAGGTGTCTCACTGAGCCTGGAGCTCACTGATTGAGCTAGGCTGGCTAAACAGCAAGCCCTAGATAGCCAACCTTCACAACACCGAGGTTACAGATACATTTTTGGGGATGTGAGAGGTCAAACTCAGGTCCTCGTGCTCCTTCACTG